GGGGGGGGGGGGGGGGGGGGGGGTTATTTTGTTTGTGTTTGTGGTTTATACAGCTCTTGTATTTTGGAGCAATATTTTAAATGTGGTCTCCATGAAAAATTCTGAGTGTTGTGTGTGTGTTTGTTGACTGTAAGAAAAGCATTTGTAAGATCTGGCTAGCTTTTGTGCAGATTGCTTGGTGTTCTAACAGCTGAAAGGCATAGCATGTCCTTTGTGTGTTCTGGAAACATTTTACTTCATTATAATTTTCTCCCCTTTTTTCATCCATATAGAAACGTAGATCAAACCGGCAAGTGAAGAGGAAGAAATATGCAGAAGAGGTGGAAGGGAAGATTTTTGAGGATGAACCAAAGGCCAATGTTAAAACCAAGAAGAGTGGAGCTCCTCTGCCAGCAGAGCAACCTTTACAGCTGTTTGTGGTAAGTGACCATCTCTAAACTTAATAGAACTTCACTATGTCAATCTAGGCGTATAACCCAATCAAGGGCTCATTCACACGGCCGTTCCTGATCGTACACTACCCAGATCGGGTATGACCACGTGCTTTTGTTCACATGCGGCCGCTCAGCCTGTAGATATCAGTGACAGCATCTGCAGTTATCTACAGTTAGGGGCAAATAAGTGGCCCTGAATGCAAACAGTCTGCGTACAGAGCCACTCATCTGTCCCTAGCTGCAGGTAATCGCTCTTTAAGTGTTTACATGTGCACAGCTGTGGACCGTGACAGCCTGTCATTAATTTTACAGTTTTTCTGTCCGCAGCCAAGCGTAAACACTTGACGTATCTGCCCCAGAAAAAAAGCTGATCTGGGCACTGTTTGCCAATGAACGGCCTTATGTATGAATGAGCCCTAAAATGTTGGAAATCCTTTCTAGTAAACCGTTTCATGGTGATTTAACTTCTATGCGTTTATAAATATGTGCATTGCTCTTTTGCAGTGCATTGTGGATGTTAAACAGGTGCTTTTTTTTTTTTATCTACTCTTAATATCTTGAAATTTCTTGATACCACTGTATTGTTTTTCAATAATGCGCCTTACATTTAAAAAATGTGTATGCATTTTCTTAAAGTTTATTGAATTTTGTACATGTTTACAAACATTGAGTGTATGATCAGTCATGTACCAGGTATAATAGATTATTGAAATAAACTCTATGTAAACATATCAACATGTTACCATTTAAACAAATGAGCACTTGGAATGGTAGACAGGATTCCCTTGGTGAGGTTACAGGGTTTAGCAAATGTGTGGGCGGTCCCATTTTGCAGGAATTTGAGTCTTTACCTCAAAGTTAATGTGTAGTTAAAATAGAGTAGTGGATAACTGGTGATAACTATGGGTTGGTAAAGGGCAACTGAACCCTTCAGCTGGGCAAGGGTATAATGGCTCAGGGGGCCCTTGGGTATAACAGAGGTACAGGGTGCAAGTGGGAGAGAAGGTCCCCACAGGGGTCCCTGGCCAGACTTCTTTGTCTGTACGTGCCTCTTTGAGTTTCTGCACTTTGTGAGTAGCTGAGCTATGGGTGTTGACTTAAGAGTTTTACTCATGGTAGCCTGGCTTGAAAGTTGCTGGAAATCAACTCAGGTTGGGGAGGACATAATACTTTTGGAAACTGGCATGTGGTCTATACACTGAGTGGCCAGTTTATTATGACCGCCTGATGTTTGTAGGCAAATTAGCTATCATTTCGCGCTGAAGTTGCTAGAGGGCCAGGCCATTATAAATAGGGAAGCAGGTTGTTTACCACGACAGTAGAAGTGATTTTTTTCTGAAGATATGGGTAAACCACGTGATTTAATAGCCTTTGAGCGTGGGGTGATTGTTGGCGCGAGCCATGGAGCGAGTATCAGCAAAACAGCAGAATTAGTTAAATGTTCAAGAGCAGCTGTTGTTAAAGTGTTTAAAGACTGGACTGTCAGCCGAAAATCTGGGTCTGAACGTGCGAATTGTGGCCGTTAGCGACTAGTCAATGTTAGGGCAGAACGGAGAGTGGCAAGACTTGTACAAGACAACAGAAGGGCAACAGTGCAGTGTCAGATTCCTCGCATCACCTCAACATCTCATGGAGTCACGAGGCGGCCCAACGAAGTCATATCGTGGAGTCATCTCATGGCCCAACGAAGTACTGATGGGGTGGTCATAATAATCTGGCCACTCAGTGTAGTGTATCCAGCAGGGCTAAATCATGGTGTACTTAGCTAGTTTGTCTTTGGTTATTTGGAAAAGAGCCTCCTTTGAGTCAGGTAAACCATTCCCCTAGTGTATGCATGCGTTTAGACCGCCAGAGGTCTAAACGGGGTGGAAACAGTACCATTTGGAGAAACGTTGCATAGCTCATGTGTTTTATGTGATAAAACACATGAAAATGCATAATTCTGAATGCACACTTGTGATATTCCCAGACCTCTGTCCACCAGATCCTAAAGAGGACACATGAATTTTGGATCCTGCGTTTCCCCAGTCCTTTCTCTTAGCTTGTCAAAGCAGAGAGCATCCTAGCCAGGAAAAAAACATTTCAGCTAGCATGATGGTCCGCAGTATGTTGTGGAGGAAATTGGCACAGGACCAATGAGAGGGCGTAAAGACTGGACTGTTGGCTACTCTGTCATTGCAAGCAAAATCCATAAAAGCAGTGATTGGTTGCATTTAGTTTTAACTGATTCTATTGTGAAGCAGTATCCTGTGTTCTAAATGGAACCAAGATTTTATTTCGGTTAGTAAACATCCTGTTTTCTTGTAACATCTAACTGAAAGCAATTCTTGCTGTGATTTTAATGTTTTTACACTATTGGTATTCCATTATTTGATCACTTGCAGTCTCCAGTATTGACAGCCACTAATTTCTGTGACCACTGTGTTTAGAAGCCCCTGTAAATTCTAACAGGCACGCTTCTATCTCACAACAATATTACATCTGCAGACCTTGCAGTGGGTGCAACTGGTGGATGAAGCATGTTTTTCTTAAAGCGTAAGTGAAGTTACGCTTTAAGAGGATTTTTGGCAAAAGATACATGCAAAGTCTCTTCTACCCAAAAGGTTTTTCCTCCTTCTTTAACCCCCCCCCCCCCACATTTTTCTCTTTTGCTTTGTGTGCAATGAATAGAGCATGTGCTGTACAGTGTACACCCTCAGCTTATTTGTGGCTAAGGTTTTCTGAATGGACCGGGTGCAAGGGAGGCTGTAACTCCAGTGTGCATGCACTGAAATCTCAGCATCAATGCCCACTCAGTGACCGAAGAGCATTCCCACTGAATCTGTAAGTGGCAAGGAGTCGAAAATAGATCCATTGTCGCTGGAGATGGGCACACCTGTAAGGGAAATGTGCCATAATCATGGCAAAAATCGACACCGTCTTTACTACCTCCTTAAAGCATATTTCCACGTTTGCAGTCAAATTCCATCCCATTCACGCAGCATACTTACTATATATTTGTTTATATTTCTAACCTTTTTAGTTGTTTCTTTGGAGTAGGGTTATACATAGGACTCTATGGGCGGTTTCTACTGCTTTGAAACGTTGGCTGTGTAGAGATGTGGGACAGACTGAAGGGACAAAACTGAGAGACTGTGTATTACCTTACAATGTCTTGAGATGGTTAACCCTTTGTTAGCACAGACAATCCTGCACATCTAGTAACGACTGATCATGAAATCTGCCAGCACAGTGCCGACAGGTTATTTATAGCAAACACTACTCCCCAGCCTACGTAGAAACATTGCATAGCAAGCAAGTAAGATTTTCTTTTTTTTTTTCTTTTTAAGCTGGGTATACGGTTATATTTTCTTTGCTCAAGCTGCGGGCTGAACAAAGAACATATAACCGATTCCTCCATCAAGGCTTATGAGCGTGGATGGAGGAATCCCCTGCTGTTTCCAGTATATTATGACAGCGGCTGCCACCTGTTGTCAGAATACCTAAACGGACTTCGCAGCTGATTTGCTACAAGCTTCGTTTGACCTGCTCCTTCGATGATCAGCTGATCGAGGCATGCCAGCTGGAAACGTGCCAACAGGAGCACCCACTGTGCAAATTTTGGCCGGTTTGTCAAGAACCGGACAAACTTTGCACAGTGTATAGCCTACTTTAGTCCTGGAGCTTTCAGAAAAGAGCATTTATAAAAGTAAGCCGCAATTTTAAATGTTTTTTTAGAGTTATGCTATGCAAATGAAAACCTGTAACAATATATGAAGTAGTTGCTATCCCAATTTGGCTGTAAAAGTGGAAATTTACTTTGTTTCCCCCAGACCTGAGCCTATATAGCAAAATAGTGCAAGCAGCATTTTTGTTTCCCTGCACCGGAACAGACTGCACTGATATGAACATAACCCAGGAATGCATTGGGATGCATTTCAGGTGCAGACAAAAGCTGTTCTAGATCTAATCAGAACATGATGTGAACAAGCCCCAAGGACTTGTTCAAACCACTTGCAGTGTGTTCCAGCATGGTTAGTTGCTGCAACGCACTGTATCGCATACTAAACTCCCCCCTGCATTCTGGGGCGGAAGGGGGCATGGCGGTGCATTAAAGTCAATGGCCCTGCAGCCATGCCCTGCGCTCGCAGTGAGATTGCCTGCACCTGAACGCGTGGCACAAAAATGCCTGCGTTCCGGTCCAGTGCGATCGCAAAAAATACTGCATGCACTATTTTTTGCAATCGACTGGACCAGGAACGGAGCCATTGCTGTGCCACGCATTTTATTGCGGGCGGGGGGGGGTTGTAGCTACGGTGCCATTGACTTAAATGCACCACCACGCCCTCTCCCGCCCCAGAACGCAGTGGGGAGTTTAGCATGCTATACAGTGCGTTGCAGCAGCTAACCATGCTGGAACACACTGCAAGTGGTTTGAACGGGGCTTGTTCACATCATGTGAATCTGTATATTAATCAAAAAAAGTCTACTGCCCCATGCCATATACTTCCAAACAACGAACACACAGAGTAGTTGACTTTAGGTTGTCTCGTGTGAGTTTAGCTCTGTGAGGGATGATCACGGATCTCTTCCTATTATTATTAACATAACCGCTCATAGGAGTAGGCTACCTGGAAATATTGATGCTGAAAAAAGAGTGATAAAAAAGTGCAAATATATAGTTTGCAAAAGATGTACCTGCATTAACACTGTGATAACAAATTCCCCGCAGGAGAACCCAAGTGAAGAAGATGCGGCAATTGTGGATAAAATTTTATCATCCAGAATATTGAAGAATGAGGTAAGAGATGGTATTGCTCTGCCTATTGAGTCTTGGTAGGTTATGAGGACGGTACACGTCATTCACTGAGCTTTTGTTTCAGACTCAATCGGGGATGTTGGTTGACGCGGAAGAATTTTACGTCAAGTACAAAAATTAGTAAGTATAGTAGTTAAATTATTTTACTTTTATTCTTATGTTAAGGAATTTTGTAATTAAATCCCAACTCGGGCCAAAACGTTATTTAGTTTTAGATGAAGTGGAAAAGGTTTAGAGCCTCTGTCGGGTTTTCTTGACATCTATGACACTGTTGGGGAGATTTTCCTTCACTTGCTATCCGGACAGGAAGTAATGGGAAATTTATCCAGGTAACTGTCCGTACCTTCCTGTCCGGGTGATGACCGCAGCCCCCATTTCTTGCATACAGGGACAGGAAACAAGGGAAAATCTCCCCATTTGGGATCACAGACGTAAATGAAAACCTGACCAGAATTTTAACACTTCCTCACTCTAACAAAGACTAGAAAAACATTTTGGCGCACAGCCTACAGACGAGGAATTACTTTTTTATGAAATGTATTCATTGGCAGAAGATATTGTTTTAATTTAGGAGGCCCTACATAGAGAAAATGATGAACGAACAATGCCAACTGACATTTTTATATTAATCATTTTTCTTTTTTTCCATCTGATCAGCCTCTGGGTCTATAATTGATCAGATGTCGATAATGATTTCCTACTACACCCATGGTAATATTCCTGTATCAGTCTGATGGAAACCATTGACTATCACCTTGAAAATGTTTGTCCTGTGCCTTGACTAAAATGGCATTTTCAAAACAACAAGAAAACAACCTCCTGAGGGATCGTTAGCCAAGCCGCTGAACATTTTACAACCAATCTGATTATTTTTGTGATTTAGTGCCATGAATTCCATCAAAAGACATCAAAATATTAGTGACATTTACAACCAGTCCAGTTATTTTCATCTGTGATGCACTGCCATGCAATCCATCGAAAGAAATCAAAATATTAGTGAAAACAATCAATATGTCATAGATTTGATTTAGACATAAAAATGATTGATCAGTCTACCAGACCTAGTAGCCATAATTATGAAAGATAACACTTGCATAGCTGTAGTGGTGTGTTATCAGAACAGCTACGCATGCAGGTTGAGCACTTAACCCAACAGAGTAAAACATGCAAAGCTACTTTAAGCATAGGAGTTACTTCCTGTGGAAAAAGAACAGGTGCTTTTGATTTTCTAGGGAAATCTTCTAGGAGTGATTAAAAAGGGCAGTCTTGGATCCTAGCATTTGCCAGTTACCTATAGGCCTTAGATCCGTGGTTATCAACCTGTGTAACCTCAGGACCCACATTCGTCCTTGGTCATTAAGCCATGACCAAGGACGGCTTAAGTCTCACTGCAAAGGAATGCAAGGGATTAGGGTACTGCGTGTTCCAGTGTGGATGTACGAGCTGTGGTTGGGAGGTGCATTAGGGGTACCATGCAAATGAATGGCAACCCATCACACCTCCCAGACCAGAATGCACAGTAGGTGCTAATGCATGGTACAGTGCGTTAAACGCATTGTACTAGTGTGAACGGGCCCTTAAAAACACTGACATACATACACAACCACAGACACAATCTGCTGAACTGTGACGGAGCTCCATCCATATGTGCATTGCTTGTACTGCTCCCTTGTGCGCCCTGTAGAGGTGTCGGGAGCCAGAATGTGACGTCAGTCCGGTCTAGGCACCTCTACAGGACACGTGAGGGAGCTGTAAGTAATGCATGTATGCATGGAGCTCCCTCGCGGCCATTTGCCCCATTCCCACCCCACCTCAAGCTGACACTCAGCACCGGGCAGCATATTTGGAATGGCTGCTTGGCGTGACAACTGACAGTGCTGCTCTAGAGGGAGGCAGAGAAGCCTCTCACCTAGAAAAGAGGAAGGCACGCGGGGACCCTCTGAACACTGGGTCGTGACCCACTTTTGGGTCACGACCCCCCAGTTGAGAACCAAGGCCTTAGATGATTGTTTCCTGATTGCAGCGACAGTCGGGTACTTACGGCTGATCATTTTTGGGAAATAGTCTTCTTGGAGACTGCTCAGCGAATCATAGAGGACACAGACACGTTGGACCGTTTCCCCAGATATATAATCAGACAGCCTTCTCTTGGGGAAACGGTCCAACGTGTCTGTGTCCTCTATGATGTCTTGGAATGCCATGAAGGAGTCACAAAGGGTCATAAGAGTTGGTATGGAATGGCACATAGATATGCAGAACACAACTCTAGAAGTATAGCCAAAGCTTTTTTAGATAGAGTGGGGAACCTGTCAAATATTTGTCTGCTGGGTATCCTGGTGACTGAAAAGTGATGGGAAATCTAAGAGTTGTCACCAGAGCAAGAGGTGAACAGTCCCTCAGGAGGTGAGCTGAACTATTCCAATGGAACAACTGTGTGCTCTGTCTATGAGGGAAATTCCCGTGACTTTGGCCATATTTCCTTTCGTTAAAGCTGGCCATACACCTTACAATCATTGTACAACTTTATTTTTCCCGACATCACACCCTCGTTCAATTTGCATGCACAGACCAATGTAGTTTGCGATTATCGTTCGTCAGCACTACTAACTGGCCGAATTTCATCGATTTGAAAGAACAGATTTTCGCTTGTGCAGTTTTCATCCTGCGATTTCTGTTGTACGAAAACGCCACTAATTCGGTCAGTCGTACAGTAATTGCGGTTGTGCACTTCCCATCAACTGGCCGATTTATCAGGCGAAACCACGATCTCGGATGAAAATCGTGCGATAATCGCAAGGTGTATGGACACCTTAAGAAAATCCCCCCAATGGGACACATGCAGCTAAAAATAGATGGGTTTTAACCCTTCCCTACATTATAAAATTGAAGAAAAAAAAAATGTTGTCTCTGCATACGGACTGCATTCACAACTGCATCTGGTGTGAACTAGCTGTAAGTGATTTGGGGTACATTTTTTTTTAATGTGACTTGTAGTTGCTTATGGTAGTGTTTTTTTTTTAATCTCTAGAATTCTCCATAACTCAGTGTAAGTGTTTGAAATGTTTATGTGGAGACGCACACAATTGATACAACACTGAAATCCCTTTCTCTCGCTTCAGCTCTTATTTGCACTGCGAATGGGCCACCGAGCAGCAGCTGCTGAAGGATAAAAGAATTCAGCAGAAGATAAAACGCTTCAAGATACGGCAGGCACAACGGGCACACTTTTTTGCTGATGTAAGCAAAAGCTTTTTCCATTCTCTCAGTATCTAAGAAGGAGTCGGATATTACAACTCGTGCAGTACTGAAGAAGTATTATCAGTATACCTGATTCTGCAGTTTCATAGCGGAATTCTTGCCATAACAAAACAATTATGTCATGTCCTAGTGACATGACAGGAAGTAAAGGAAAACTTGGACAGCAATGGCAGAGACCTAGCAGACCTTCTAACCGTCCCTCACTCTATGTAAACCAAAATATTTTAGATGAAGTTCCATTTGAAGGCCAGTGTCAGCTGTACAGAATCACATGCTGCTTTATTTTTACACATTCTCTGTGGTACAGGACCCTTGTCTGCTTGATGCAGTGCCTCAGCCCCTGTGGACAGACTGTGGCACGGTTCCATCAACATTGTTTGGATTGTGTGACCGTCTGTCTGTGTTGGAAACTTTCAAATGTAGTCCTAAGACAACCTTTACCAGATGGAGTGGAGTGAAAATTTTATATTTCGTTTTTGGGGGGAAATAACTGCAACCAATGGACAACTGGCCTGTTTTCTCTAGGCTGAATAGTTGTTGGTAGATAATGGCTACTATGTGGTGGAGGTGGTGGGGATCTATGCTAAAATTTTATTATTAAGCAGTCATAATGAATCAGTAGTATGAATCTGTTCTGGTGATTCACTGATTTGGGCTATACCCTACACATCAAATAATGAATGCCTGCTAATTTGTGCCAGTTTTAATACTAATCATGTTTAAGCCCTGAAAAAGGGGAAAGTCTTTGGTCCCCCGAAACCCATTGGCTGTTCTGTCGTTTTATGATCCTATTCCCTGAAATCTTTTTGGACGTTCATGCTGTCTTGTTTGGCACTCTCATTGGACTGTATATATACATGTATCTGCAACCCTGGATCCCTTGTTTTTTTGAGAGCGGCCTCGCTGGAGCCATTAGGATTTATCATGTTCTTATGATCTTGTGAATATTTGAATTCAGGGCCTCACCTGTATTTACCATTTGTGTTTGATGGAAACTTTGTAATAATTATTTTTTTTTATCATGGATTTACAGATGGAAGAAGAACTATTTAACCCTGATTATGTAGAAGTTGATCGCGTGCTAGAAGTTTCTTTTTGTGAAGATACAGATACGGGGGAGGTAAATTTAAAACCTTCTGTAAAGTAAGGGTGCCTGGTCAGTGGCGCAGGGGCTTTATTTCTCTCTCAGCATCCTGTGATGTTACTGCAGATACGTATATTCTGTGGGAGGACAACTCCAACAAACGTTCAAAAAGGTGCATTATGTAGATCCCCCACAACCCCAGTATACCAAACATCATCAAGCAGTTGCTTCTTTTAAATTTGCCCTAGTACCATTATTAAACTCTTCTGGCCTTATGAAACATATACAGTAATTACATCCGCAGAGCACCAAACCATTTCCAGTGTCCTGGCCCTTTGACCTTCCTCCTAACTGTCAAATCCGTGTTGGAATGTTGGATTCTCTGCTTGTTCTGAAAAATGTTTAGAACAGAAAGCGGTACCTACTCCCCACAAACCTCGGGACATCATTCTAATCACTCCACGCTGTGCCTTTGCAGCCCTGTAACGTCATGTGGTATATTTCTTCCTGGCACCTTGCCATTCACATTTGTAATCGCTGTGCTCATGAAGTTGGAAATGGGCCCTTCCGTGGTTCCTTTTGGTGTGGTGGTGTAAATTTCTGTTTTTTCTCAGCAGGAGGTCTGCCTATTTTGGTCACCCTGAGGGCCCTATGCGTTTTTGTCTGATGTATTTTCCATTGAAATCAATGGAAACGCCTCAAGATGTATGTTGCAGTGTGTGTCAATAACGCCAAGAATGCGCATTGACATGCAGTGCATAACACATGCTTTGATATGTGCTTTGATGCGTTTTCATAGATTTCAGTGGAAAGCGCATCAAGCAACAGTGTATAGGATGCACTGGAAAGACCTGTGTTTTTATTCAGCCTTAACAACTATGTATATTTGAAGAAGAACTCCAGGCAGAAATAATCTTAACCCTTGCAGTGGGTCTACCCTCGCATTGCAAGGGTTACGTGCTTGTTTTCTTCTAGGGTGTAAAATAAAAAAAGATATACTCACCCAAACTTCAGAGCCAGCTGCCTGCTAGACCAGTCCCCACAGCCGCTTTCCTCCTCCACTCCGGTGAATAAATGTATGCCGAGGTCCTCATGTTCTATACACTGTATTGGACGTGATCACTCAAGGGTTTTTAGACCACTCGAGCGGAGGGGGAGAGAGACTGCAGGATTTGGGCGAGTGTAACTTTTTGTTTTTTTACACCCTAGACCAGGGGTCCCAAAGTGCCAATTCTGGCCTGCAAACTGGTACCATACTGCCCGCAGCCAGATAGAAAGTTACGGACTGCATACCTGACTTCTACATGGGCTGCAGACCGCAAAGCTGCTGGTGTGGGCACCTAGTGTGAGTCAGAGCGGTGTGCGCTCTGACCGCCTTCACTTAGTGGCGGCCAAAAGGAAGGATTAATAAGGCCTGCACCAGCCAAAGGTCCACACTGTACTACTCCCCCACTGGACCACCAGGGAATGTGCCCACTCCCTGCAAAAAATGGAAGCAGATGAGGGGCTCTTTTTTATTTTAGGAAGCTGTGAGTGTGTGTGTGTGTATTTCTGTGTGTATGGGGGGAATGTCTGCGTGCGTATTTCTGTGTGTGAGTGAATGTGTGAATCTGTTGGTCCTCTATGATTAAACATACACATATACTGACATTGCACACATTTGTTTTGAAGTATAACATTTTATTAAATCTGGCAAGTGGCCCCCATGGGAGAAGAACTTTTGTCCAGCAGCCCCCAAGTGAATTGAGTTTGAGACACGAGACGAGGGAGTTCTTCTTTAATGGACCAAAAGAAGCAAATAATGAAAGTTCATTGCTGGGGTTTACATACACTTTACACTTTAAGGGTTTTAATATTGGTTTAATTTGTTTTCTGTTTTCACCTTTCAGCCTGTTATTTATTATTTAATAAAGTGGTGTTCCCTTCCGTATGAAGATAGCACATGGGAACTGAAGGAAGATGTTGACCACTCCAAAATAGAGGAGTTTGAACAGCTGCAAGCTCTTAGGCCTGACACTAGGAAAGTGGTAAGGATTTTTAGTTGTACATTGAGGTTACAGGTAGTGTTATATTTGAACTCCTATGGAAAAAGTTAGTGCTAGTGACATCATGTGCTCATATTTTAAGACTGAGATGAACCGTTTCTTGAGAGAAAATGTTTTCCAAAAAATATTTCACAAATCAGTTTCGAAAGCCTTCTTACCACCACCAACAGTACCATGTATAACAGTATCCTAATCATGTAGCTTATCAGTGGTTGTTGCATCTTCTATTACTAATGTCTTAATGAGCTAAAGAATCCCAAGGAGAGTTTTATTTTTCCTTACTTAACTAAAACATTTTTATTATGCTTGTGCTGTATTCATTTGACTCCTGACGTTTTGTACCATTACATTGTTGTATTTTGTATGTTCACTGTCAGTTGCTAGAGTTCAACTGAGCTGGTTCTAATCAATACCATGATAAAGTCAACCTTCCTGACTATTACCCTAACCTGTGATATTTCCAGCTCTATAATAGATAAAGCTACTGTGTTTTAGTCTTTAATTTAACCTGGGAAAACTCACACTGTGCACTTTTCTTCTGCAAGGATCGACCACCCCCCAATTCCTGGAAGAAGATCAACCACTCACGAGAGTATAAAATTGGGAATCAGCTCAGAGAATACCAACTGGAAGGACTTAACTGGTTGCTTTTTAACTGGTATAACAGGTAAGTTCTGTGTCCCTATTATAATATTATACATATGCATAGTCGAGCCAGCTGTATTTTAGAGAATGCAAGTTATAGATTCTCTATTATAGCAGTGGTTCTTGGTGAATGTGTCAACCACTGGACAATTAAAATACAGTACCTGTAGCCACATTGTTTGCACAAAGTATCTCTCAAGAATATGGAGCATTTTCCCATAGTAACCATTCAGATTCTGACTTCAGTTTGTTCAATTAAGCTTCGCAAATGAGAGATAGAAGCAATTAAACTGCTCCACATTTTGTCTGCTCCAGTTATGAAAAATTCCCCTCCATGTCCCTTAACAGGCTGTATGGGCAAGTCTTAGGATACATCATATAGAGCAGTAGTAGCTAATCAGGACATATTTGCACACCCACCCCGGTTTCTGATTAGCAGCTGTCGGCTGTCATTTTAGAAACTGGTCAGTGTGCAGAATATAGCACTGACAAAACAGTAATGTTACGTTTTGGCTTCTGCATGTCTATACATCCATCCAAGATCAGATTAAATACGGTTAGATTAAAGTATCACTATCACTTTGCCCTGCAAGACATGGGTATGTTGTATGTGTCAAAGTATAATGTATGTTGGTTGGCGTGATTTAACCAAGGATTCTAGGCTGTTCTTAAACATTTAGGTGTGTTCTTTTACTATGTAGATAGTTTTTAGTTTGATGAGCATCATGGACAGTGGGACTGACCTATTTTTTGTAGCAAGTTTCCTCTTTTTAAAACATTAGGGCCTGGAGTAGAACAGCCCAAAATCCAAAAAGATAATTGTACAAAGCAACCCAGTTAGGAGGGTTAACACTCGTTCGGCAAGGCATTGCCACAACTAGAAAAAGCCCATAAGTCTCTCAGAGAGCAATAAAAGGAGGCTATGCCTCAATCAAAGCAAAGGGACACAGTTTAATTTGCCATAGGTAACTCAACACCCAGCTTGTAAACTTATGTATGAAGTACAGAAGAGTATAAGGAGAAAATATTTTCCTTACACAGTCCATTAGATATATCTTTTTAGCTTCAGTAAAAAGAGTTTATACTGATGAAGAAGAAATATCCTTCAACAGAGAAAGTAGAGGATCACCAGCACTCAGAAGATAGCGTTAAAGGAGAACTATGAGGTGAGTGATTTTCACTCACCTCATAGTTCTATGTCATGTGCCGTCCTTGGAAAGGGTACGGTGGATCTCAGCTGCGGGTCTAAGGCTGGGTTCACACCTAGGCGGATTGAATATGCACGTTTTTCGCGCGTTTCTTTTACCGCGATTCGCGGTAAAAAAAACGCGCGAAAAACACGCGTTTCCGAGGGATACTTGGCTGTATCCCAATGGAACCGCCCGACCAAAACGCCCCGAAGAAGTACATGTACTTCTTTGGGCGTAGGGCGGTTTCCCACGCGTTCGTACTCACGAAAAACCTCCCAGATGTGAACCATGCACATTGAAAATAATGGCATTTCCCTGTTTGAGTGTTTTTCCGTGAGTACGAAAGCGCGGAAAAACGCCCAGGTGTGAACCCAGCCTACCACTGTGAAGAACTCTTGGTACGAGATAAAGAGGATCTTTACCCACCAATGTAATGTCTCCTAAAACAGTTGCTTTTAAGGCATGCCAACTGTCAAGGTTGCCGTAGTGCTCATTTCAGCTCTCAACTGTACTTTCAAGCCCTCATATGGTTGGTGCTGAACATTTGGATCACATGTGCAGCACCATGGCAACTGCAATCCACTTAGAGGCTAAGATGGCACCTTCCTTGGCTGTAAGGGACAGGAGGTTGAGGTCCTGCTTTAAGCACAGAACAAGAGTGATATGGTAACAATGTATTAATTTATATGTTTGGATTTCTTTGTAAGGCCCCAGTAATCCTTTGTATCCTATCTTGTATGTGATTCCCTTTTTTCCCCCTACAGACGGAACTGCATTCTAGCGGATGAGATGGGTTTGGGTAAAACTATCCAAAGCATAACATTCCTGCATGAGATCTTCCAGACAGGCATCCGTAGCCCTTTCCTCATCATAGCTCCACTCTCCACCATCACAAACTGGGAACGAGAATTTCGCACATGGACCGATCTCAACGTAGTTGTCTATCATGGAAGCATGATCAGCCGGCAAATGATCCAGCAATATGAAATGTATTCACGGGACTCCCAAGTATGTCAAACTCAACCGTTACAGTGCTTGCTTTAGCTATATTACACTGATACTTAAATAACTGGAGGACATAGGGGGTATGCCCACACCAACCAATCAGATCCACAGGGTTTTATGTAGTGCTGGCTAGAATATGAAGAGGCAAGTCCATGCAACATTTACGTTTTTGGTGTTGGTAATGTGGTGGTTGGTAAAATTGCCTCCATCTCTTGGGTCCTTTGACAGATTGTGTAAATGCTTTTTAAGGTTATTTTTTTCAAGATTATCACTGGGCTTCCTAAGAGTATAAAAAGCCAGTGGATCAGTTCCCACCTACTAAAGCAAGATTTGGTTGCTGGGGACAAACCTTTCATTTTTCCACGCATCTGAATATTGTTTTGACTGATAGATATTAAAATCTTCTGTTACTTTCCAGGGTCGTGTTATCCGAGGAGCATACAAGTTCCATGCCATTATCACTACTTTTGAAATGATCCTGGGAGGCTGCCCAGAACTCAATGCTATTGAATGGAGATGTGTTATAATTGATGAGGCACACAGGCTGAAGAACAAGAACTGCAAATTGCTGGAGGGACTGAAACTCATGAGCCTGGTGAGTGTGCTTTTTGGGGGTCGTGTGCTTTTAAGAGAAGCCTGTTCTGAGAAATTATGAAGGTTTATCTTGCTGGCCCCTTTTGAAATTGCTAGATGCCTGATTGTCACATTGTTCTAAATGCTTCAATACTTTGAATCAGTGATACCATATAGGTCTTCAGATCAGAGTTCTCACTTGACGTTTTGTAGGCCTCTGTCTGATCAATGATTCAGAATGTATTAAGACAACCAGGCAACTAGTATTTTCAGAGGGAGGTCAGACACATGGCAGCCATTATATCTCCTCAATGCAGGTTTCCTTTAAAATGAGATTGCCTGCATAGTAAATACAGTTTTCACATGGACACCACAGAGTAAATTACCATTTGGGAAAACTGGGATTGTTGTGTTTCCATTGGTTTATATTTTAACCTATTAATTGGAGTTGAGTGTGAAGTAGTTGTGAAGTAATATTTCAATTTTACATTTTTTTATTTTTGAGGATTGTTTTCAATCTTATACCACAGTGCTCTATAACAACGGTATAGGCAGCAGAGAAACGTTCTAGAGAATATGACTTCCAGACAATATTTTGTATTTCGGATGTCGGTATAATAGAAGGGTAGCAAGCTTAGAAGCTGGGAATGACATAATGTGTATACCTATGGGATCCTCTAGGTACAAAGCTGGAGAATGACAAACATATAAACAGGATTTCTATATAACAATTTATGATATCAGTGCAAGTAGGAAGGGGAGATTAAAGTCGGCCATACACTGGTCAAATTTCCGCCTGCTGACTTGGTCAAATTACGATTTTTGTTTGACCCCATTGGACAAAAGTTGATTTATATTTTTGCTTCGATCTTTGTTGAAGCCGGTCTGATGAGTGCAGTGGCTTTGCTCGTCAGTGTTTTAAAGTGCTACACAATATCTTGCAGTAGCAATATCACACTTTTGAGGATGAAGGCACTGCTACATAAAATACATGTTTAATCTTGATTTATTGCATTACTATAAATGTGTTGAGGGCAGTTGCTGACTGGGAGGCAGTAATACAGCTTCTTCCTTTTAATCACAGTCAGTATTATTCTTTAAATTATCTGTAGTTAGTGTATATACTGTGTCATACAAACGCCATGTAAACATGTGGGAATAACACTTCTCTTTGTAACTCAGCATCTCTAAACTGCTCACCTCATTACTAAACCTTCTAAATCCTGTCTATGCGGCCCTTTGCGGACCCCAGTAGTGGAAGTGGGAGCTTCACAGGGGGACGCTAATGACAATGATCTTGAACAGTCTTGCATATGTCCCCATTCTGACTCTCTTCTGCAACAAGTTTGAACTGTGTCATGCCTGCATTCTCTGATCCTCTCCTAGTATATCTGCAGTTTTTGACAATCTTCTATAGTGTTACACATACTGACTATTATTACAGTTGAGGCCCCTATACCAGCCACTGATTTTCTCGCCCCTAAAGTTCATTTAAATAAACTCCCCAGAAATTAAAAACACATTATAGCAAAGTGCTGGATATTTTGATGTATTTTTAATATTTTCACCACCATGACAACTGAATATGAACGCCAAGTGTGTATGGGATCACCTCTCTTGTTTTTCATTATGTTTCACTCGCAGGAAATCTGGAAGCTTGTGTACTGTAGGATTATCGGGGATCACAGGAAGTCTCTATAGAATAGTAATAAGATGCACGTTGAGCTAAATGAAACTCTAATTTAATCAGTAGAGTACATTTTGAAGAATTGTTAAGGTTGAAGCTCCTAGCACTTGGTTCATTGCACTTTTTTAATTAATAAGCCTAAAAATGGATGTTGGTATACCTCAGCATTCCAGCTCAGCCTTTGCTGCCAGTCGTGCTTGCCTGAAGCGCTTGTCTAGTAATTTGAATTTGGTTGAAGATAGTATAGTCTAGTTCTGGACTATATCATGGTGTGATGATATCAGTGTCATGGAAACAGCTGAGGATGGATGAATAAATGACCAAGATGCGTGAGAATGAAAACAGCTGATGGTTTGGGAGAGCAAATATTTTCTTGTATTGTAATATATGGAAAAAAATTAGTGCTTTTATATAAATTACAGCTGGCTATATTTGTCTTCCACTCAGCATCTGGCAGGTCCAGTTTCTTTTTAAAACTATGACCTTTATCCCTAGGAACACAAGGTGCTTCTAACAGGAACCCCACTACAAAACACAGTGGAGGAACTCTTCAGCCTGCTGCACTTCCTGGAGCCTTTGCGCTTTCCCTCCGAATCTACTTTCATGCAGGAGTTTGGTGACCTCAAGACCGAGGAGCAGGTACCTATATTATGGCCTATATTTATCTTTTATCTTACATTTTCTTATAAGATCTTGGGAATCTAGACCTGAAATGTTGTGTGCTCTGTATACCTTTGTGATTGGGTCAGTCATGTATCTATGCAAGACTACTAGGAGGAGACTGCCATAGAATTGTGACACATTAGAGGTGATTGATTGTATTTATTTATTTTGTAAAGGTTCAGAAACTTCAGGCTATTCTTAAACCAATGATGCTTCGGAGACTTAAGGAAGACGTGGAGAAAAAACTGGCCCCTAAAGAGGAAACTATCATAGAGGTTGAGCTGACGAACATCCAAAAGAAATATTATAGGGCCATTCTGGAGAAGAACTTTGCCTTTTTGTCGAAAGGGGCTGGGCAAGCAAATGTTCCCAACCTAGTCAACACCATGATGGAACTGCGTAAATGCTGTAACCACCCATATCTCATCAAAGGTAAGGTTCCTTAGCTCTTTGTGGAAGTAGAGACATGGAGAGAGCAGCTCAGGAATTGGCATTTGTAAGACTCTCTATTATTAAGTCGTCATAATAGTGCAGTCTTATCTCTCAGGGATAAGTGTGTCTGTGCTGTTATTCCCTTGTGTTCTCTCCCTGTCAGAGCACAAATGTTAGCTTAGTTGCATATTGTAAGGCACCCATGGAGGATGACCTGTCTCCTGCTTGATCTCAGGGATGATAATAGCCATACAAACACACTGGGTTGATGTAGGGCAAAACTGTCAAGCAACAGAGTCTTTACTTTTTATTGGTGTAATCCTGACAACATCTTTGTTGTATAGCAGTATTTTTGTAGTTTGTTCTCTGTTTTGAGCCTCTGTTATCAGCATTGAGATCAGGCAGGGGAGAGAATGTCCTTAAAGCAGAACTTCAGGGAAAACATTTTCTTAATCCTTGCAGTGGGGCTAAGTGTTAAGTGCTCCTTTTTGTCTAGGTTCAAAAAGTTATACTCGCCCGCTCCTTGGAGCCGGCTTGCTCTTAGACTAAACCGTTCCCTTCTGCCTCGCTCCCCCTTCTCTACAGCAGTCCAAGGTCTCCTGAGTCATCATATTCCATGGATTTGAACGTGCCCTGCAGCCTCTGAAAAAAAATACCTATATAAATTATCTTTCATGAAATCCAGTTTGAGGCAGTGTGGTGTTTAGTCTCATGGTACCTGGAAATGATGCTCTGTTGTGAACAAGCTTCTCCCTGGTGATGGCTGCTCATTCAGTAGATCTCTTCTAACACCATTATCTAATGCTGGCCATGAGCAGCTTGTTCAAACCAGAGCCAGATGTAAGCACAGTGCCAGGAGACTACACCATGCTGTGTGAAACTGTATTCACCATCAGCAACCTAAGTAAAATGATAGCTTGAAAATGCTTCTGATGGCTGTTAAAGAAGAAAGTGTGCTAGAAGCGAAGGCGTAGACATGAACATAGGGTACTACTGTGGGGTAGAACCCTTGCTAATTAGTTTTTTCAGAAGCTATAATGCATGATTTTTTTAGAAAGATGATTTAAAGAGTGATTACTGCTGTTGGCTTGTTATCTTAGGAAACATGAAGGTAACATCTGACAAAAATTGCAAAAGGATTCTGTGTATGGAATATCTTTTCATACCGAACAGCAGTATAGCCTTGCCTTTTTACTGATCAGCTATGACTGAATGATACCATGGATACTGGTACAGATTGATGCTGTAGTGTATATGTTAATTATCTTCTTCTTTATACACATTTGGGCATATAGGAACGAGGCAATACACTTTTGTTTTTAATATGTGATAGATGTAATGGCCTGTGAACATCATTCTATGTCTCAACCTTGAAATGCAAGGACCTTTTTTTAAGTATGTTGTATTATGGTTGTTTATGGGATGCAGCACGCTCTTTTGCACAATTTTGCAATGGCACAGCTTTTTTTCTCAGAGATGTTGTAAATGTTGTTTAAGAAAAATCAGGTTTGTCATTCGGAGCACCGTTTTAAGTTTTTTTGTGATCTGAAGAAAGACTACCATCTTTCAGGTGCTGAAGAGAAGATCCTGGGAGAGTTCAGGGAGACGCACAATCCTATGGCTACGGATTTCTACCTCCAGGCCATGATTCAGTCTGCTGGGAAGCTGGTCCTCATCGATAAACTGCTGCCCAAAATGAAGGCAGGAGGCCACAAGGTGCTCATCTTCTCCCAGATGGTGCGTTGTCTGGACATTCTAGAGGAATATCTCATGCACAAAAGGTAAGAACATGCACATCCCTTAAAGCATAGCTAAACCCAAAAACAAAAATGTAATTTATTGCAGCTTGCTTATCTTAGATTTAGTGGCTGTGTTTAGTTTTCCATTTTTGGGTTAAGAACATTTTCAGCAAGTACCTGTTGACCTTGCCAGAAATGCAATGTTCTTGTCACTTCCCGAGAGCTAAACTGAGGACAAAAAAAATTGTTTTCTCTTATGTAAGCTACTAATCCAATCAGACTTCTCTGTAATGAAGATAAATAAAGGCAGCCATATTATTAGTCCAGCCTGGGTAGGAATCATAGATACAGTCCGTAGGTAGGACTCCATAGATGCAGTCTAGGAGTAAGTATCAAAGGACAGGAAGTATGTTATTCACAGGCTCTTCAGATATCAATAAAATAAAAAGGTCTAAAAAAAAATATGAAAAGGAATACTGCCTACTCTGCGGACTGGTAAGCTGCAATATATTACATTGTTATTTTTGTGTTTAGATGCTGTTTAAGGGTCAGATCTGCTGTGATCATTGCTGACATTTTTTTATTTTTTATCTGAATAAACTTATCCCGGAATGGGCAGGTCACTCAGACACATCATACTTTTCAGGATGCACATAATAAAAGAATCATTCTCTTATGAAAAAATGGACAGCTGCTGAGAGATGTAATAATGGAGTGAGAATAAGTACTCTGATGCCCAGAAGTGCCTGTTATCTCTCCAGAGTTAAACCTAAATGGACCAATTATTGCAAGTAATGTCTAAAAATGCAGCATTGCGTGCACATAACAGGCTGTGAATGGCTCGCCTAAACTGCTTGAGAGAAGGTAGCTAGAGGAAACAAAAATTTTTGTTGTTCTGTCATCTCTCTTGCCAGGTCTTATAGTGTTGATAAATACTATGATAGAACACTGGTGAGTCTCCCATTATACAGTGGGCGTAGCATGGCTGAAGGCCCAGAACACGGTGATTAGGATCTGCTGGAAGTTCTATTTTGTGGTTAATTTTCTCTGATGGCTCAGAGGCTTGTCAGAGAGAACATGTTGCTGGTATATGATCATACCTTTTGTGTAGAGGGCTCTATGAGATTTTATCCACTTTTAGGAGTTTTTTTATTTTAGTTCTGTTTATATTCTATTCTATTTTAATGCTGTCATGTGATTGAATATGCTGCAGGGTACAGCAAAGGTCAAATATTTCCTTGTTGGATGCAGAGAAGGTCAGAACTAAAATATATGCCTTATTTTGAGGCCATAAAGTCAATTTAAAGAATATATAAACCCAAAATCAAATCAAGTGTAATACATGGCAGTTTCCTCATCTTGGAATGGGGTGGATGCATTAGTTTTCTTTTTAAATTTTGTTGTTTTTTTTACCTTCTGTTTCTGCCAGTAACACACTTCCAGTTCTAGGATGACATAATTCATTCACCCTACAGTATCAGGACAACAGAAACAGGGTAGGATTATAGGACTCTGTCCCTCTTTTCTTCTTATAATATAAAGAGCATGGTTCTATAGCCTACATAGATGGCTGAGAACAATGCAGCTGATAAGTCAGCACAGGCAGAGAGCACAGGAAGCTATCGACATACAATATTTTAGGCGGGATCAACATTTTTTTTGCATTTAGCAAACAGATATCAAACAAAAACACTTTAAGGGACATATTTAATAGACTAAAGGGATTTTGATTGCTAAGGTTTACATTCCCTTTAATATTTAGTTGTGGGTGTGATTAGAATATCTGGTTAGTGAAGTTAACTTGGGGGGCATGAACAAAGTTCCCCGATTAATCTCCTTATCTGTCTGCTATACCTGTCAGTGTTTTGAAAAATATACCACTAAAAGGATGTGTGCCTCACTGGTCAGTGTCTTCAAACATGAACCATTGAAAAAAAAAGTCACTGTACAATATTTGTAAACATTGGAAATTAGTTTTAAGGTTTTGTTACTCACCACAATGAGGGTCTCATTTTCAAGCCGACTGATAATATGTTGATCAGCCACTATCATCTTGTTATACTAAAGTTGCCCATGGACATCATTCTGTTGGATACCACATGCCTTTGTGCCAGAAGATTTCCATAAACCTGCGCATTTGAATTGGCTGAGAATGCACGTCTAAATAGAAGGGAGAGCAGAAAGACAATCACAGGCGTCTCCCTCACCGACTTATTTTGGTGGAAAAACAAGAACATTTGGTCTGGAAACTCCAACCCAGTCGATCGGTTCTTCCAGAATTTTATGAGCTAATATGGCTGCCTGAAAAAAATATTCACATAAACTTGGTATTTAAAACATGCACTATACAGACCAAACGCATCGCTTACAGTACTGTGCAAACGTTTTAGGCAGGTGTGAAAAAACGCTGTAAAGTAAGAATGATTTCAGAAGTAGTTTATTTTTATCAATAAACAAAATGGAAACTAAATGAACAGAAGAGAAATCCAAATCAAATCAATATTTTGCGTGACTACCCTTTACCTTCAAAATAGCATCATTTCTTCTAGGTACACTTGCACACAGTTTTTGAAGGAACTCGGCAGGTAGGTTGTTCCAAACATCTTGGAGAACTAACCACAGATCTTCTGTGGATGTATGCTGCCTCAAATCCTTCTCTTCATACAATCCCAGACAGACTCCATGATGTTAAGGTCAGAGCTCTGTGGGGGCCAAACCATCACTTCCAGGACTTCTTGTTGTTCTTATTTATGCTGAAGATGTTAATCTTAATAACATTGGCTGTATGTTTGGGGTCGTTGTCCTGCTGCGGAATAAATCAACTGCCTCCCTGATGGTATGGCACGATCGGTAAGTATCTGCTTGTATTTCTCAGCATTGAGGACACCATTGATCATGACCAAATCTCCAACTCCATTTTTAGAAATGCAGCCCCAGACTTGCAAGGAACCTCCACCATGCTTTACTGTTGCCTGCAGACACTCATTGTACTGCTCTCCAGCCCTTTGGTGAACAGACTCCCTCCTGCTACAGCCAAATATTTAAAATTTTCACTCCTCAGTGTACCTGGTTTACTCCAGTTCGGTGCTGATGGCACTGCTGGACATCTTCTGATGTCGAAGGAAAGTAAGCATGATGTGTCTTCATCTGCTGCATTGTTACTTGGCCGACCACTGTGTCTACGGATCTCCCGTTTCTTATGCTTCTTCAAAAGAGCTTGAACAGCACATCTTGAAATCCTAGTCTGCTTTGAAATCTTTGCCTGGGAGAGACCTTGCTGATGCAGTATAACTTCATTGTGTCTTGTTGCTGTGCTCAGTCTTGCCATGGTGACATGAAACTGTCTTCCACAACCTCACCTAAGTAGCAGAGTTTGGCTGTTCCTCATCCAGTTTTAAGCCTCCTACACTTCTGTTTTTGTTAATGACTGTGTTTCAACCTACCTATGAAATTGATCATTAACACCTGCTTAGTAAAACTGGTTAATCATACACCTGACTCTTATCCTACAAAATCCCTGACTTTGTGCAAGTGTAAAGGTGGCCATACACTAGTAGATGTTCAGACCCCACTGACTTTGAAAACCCTACTCACTCACTTTGCATTTTGTAAATTGAAAAACAAGCAATAAAAATATATATTTTTGCAAGCATTTTTACTTTACAGCATTTTTTCACACCAGCCTAAAACCTTTGCACAGTACTGTATATCTAAACATTAAATGGCCCTTTTCCATTCTTACATAGAATTTCTGCAATTTATATCCAGACACATATACATGCAGGACCCTCCTGTATTGAAACTGTACTGGGTACTGTGTCTCCCGTTATTATGTAAAGCGCTGCACATGTGCCCCATGACATTGGGGGAATGCTTCAGTGCTTTAGAAAAAGAGGGGAAGATCCCCCTCCAAACAATTATGAAATTAATTGGTGTTTATGGGAGGTGGGTCGTTTTCCTTTAGTCTTTATTGAATACGGTAGTCTTCATTGTACTTTTCAGCAGGTGAACATGTGAGGAGTCAATATGGGCCCCTTATTAGTTCACTTTGGGCAGAAGTGGTAGCCTCAGAAGCAAGTAAGCTGCATATAAACACGTCTGCGTTTTGTTCTTAGGTGCTCTGTAAGCACTGATAGACTGTAGAGGTTTTTACTATTTCTCTTGAGCCCCTGAATCTAATAAAAAGTACTGGCAGATTCAGACCTTCTTTATCTCTTACAAAGGCATAAAGAATGAAAGCTGAACAAGGTGCATCTTCCCTGACCCGCTTGTGATTTCTTCTTTAGTTGACTTCATGTAGCTTGATAAAGTCGGTCTCTTGTGTACTGATGGCAATCTGTAGTCATTACAGGTGCTTTTTAGACTTCCATACTTACTGATCTACTATCAACAGTTAATCATTCGGCTCTTTATCTCTCGTTCCCCTGCAGATATCTGTATGAACGCATAGATGGGCGAGTCCGAGGAAACCTCCGGCAAGCTGCTATTGATCGCTTCAGTAAGCCGGATTCAGATCGCTTTGTGTTTTTGCTTTGCACCAGGGCAGGTGGTCTGGGAATTAACTTGACTGCTGCTGACACCTGCATCATATTCGACTCTGACTGGAACCCACAGAATGACCTCCAGGTCGGTAGAAATTTTAACACCACTGACTTTGTTAAAAACCACAAATTCTATGCAGTTATGAAACCTTGTCTCTTTAGTGTTATAGCTAAATACAGTACGACTAGAGGATAATGAGACTGTTGGTTGAGCAATACCCATCAGCAGCTTAAAGCTGAACTCCAGGTGGAAAAAACCTGCAGTTTTGTACTCTTTTATAAATCATTAAATGTGCGCTTACATTGAACCGGCATAAGTTCCTGGAGCTGTTCTGATAGTAGCCTCCTGTAATCCCATGCACAAGGGTACACAGTGGGAGGGTCAACTGTGTAATTCAATCTGGGTCTACTTCTCACTTTGCTGCTCCTCTAAAAGTGTGCAATATAGGAGGAAGAGCATATAGGAATGATCTAAAAAATGTGCTGGTATTCCTTCAACGTTCTTTCACAATCTGTGGTTGGTCCTGGACCAGGCTATGTCACAGACTACCTACAGTTATGGAAGGAGGTCCAAAACCTGACTGTGCTGTCTGGGAGGGTGCCTGGTTCAGAAGAATGTTACGTACTTTAGCAGCCTAAGCAGTTAACATAAATATTATCTCTGTGTCTAGTTGCTTGCCTGCAGCTCAGCTTTAAAGTGTCACTAAACTCGGGCATTAAAACTTAAAGTACATTTTTGTTAATAGTTAAGGTACTCTAATGTATTTTTATGTATCACGCAGCTGTAGATCCTGAAATCATCTCTGAATTGGTGCGGACACTAGTCCTTCCTTCCGGACGGTGGCTACTTTTCTTCCCCATGGTCCCTGTGTGTGTGGTAAAGTAGCCACCCCTCCAAGCTTGCTCCTGTGATGGACAACAATCTCAATACAGATTAGTAAACTAAATGTGAGTTTGTAGTCAATCCTGGGAACGAGCTTGGATATGCACAGATGAATGATACTCAAATCGGCTAAATGTTTGTTAATAGAGTACTGGAATGCATTTTTAAGATTTAATTTCTGAGTTTGTCATTTAAGCTGACACTCCATAACATTGTTTATATATCAAACACTAAATAAAGTAACAGATGATGTTTGTTCTCCCTCTCTCATCATAAATCATGTGTTTTTCACAGGCACAAGCCCGATGTCATAGGATTGGTCAGGACAAAGCTGTAAAAGTTTATAGACTAATAACAAGAAATTCCTATGAGCGGGAGATGTTTGACCGAGCAAGCCTCAAGTTGGGTTTAGACAAAGCTGTGCTACAGAGTATGAGTGGAAGAGAAAATAGTGGTGGAGTAAGTTCAAGTCCTGCTTATCCTTGAAACTGAATTTTTTTTCAATTTCCAATGTTCCTTTCCACCAGGGGATGCATTAGACTTCTTGGGTATATAAGCTGTTTAATACAGGTTGGACAAGCTTATCCTCACCTTGGACTATACTCTAACACTTCTGCTTCTTCTTTTCTATATGTTCTTTAGGAGGGTTTTTCTGGTGTGTTTCTTCTTTTTAGTTCGGTTTTATTTTTGTCTCTGGATACATTTAGGTAATAGTTACTGTTTGCAGTTTAGCTGTACTGACTCACTATATGGGGTGCACTAGCTAGACATACCGTATATACTCGAGTATAAGCCGTCCCGAATATAAGCCGAGGTACCTAATTTTACCACAAAAAACTGGGGAAAAATATTGACTCGAGTATAAGCCGAGGGTGGGAAATGAGGCAGCTACTGGTAAATGTACAAAATGAAGATAGATACCAATAAAATTACATGAATATTTATTTAAAAGAAAAACAATAACCTAGCTCTGTAAGTGGAAAAGGGGGTACAGGGCTACATATCATGTACTACGGATCATTTAACCCATTCATATTAGCAGAGGATAATTGTAAATCTTTTGTTCAGTGCATTCTATATGTAGTATGCGTCACAGCTGCTCCGGTGAGCGGCGCTCCGAGCAGGGTCATCTGGCAGTCTCCGGCCACCTAAATTAGGACCCGTAGACTGCCAGATGACCCCGCTCAGAGCGCCGCCCACCGGAGCAGCAGTGACGCGACGCTCGGCGAGATAAGTAAGAAGAAACCTGACCAGCTCGAGACGCTGACTCGAGTATAAGCCGAGGGGGGCACTTTTCAGCACAAAAAATGGCTGAAAAACTCGGCTTATACTCGAGTATATACGGTACTTGTTAATAAACCACCATCGTCCCACTGCCATAGTTTAATGTGCTGGATGACCAGTGAAAAGTTCATACCCAGGATTACCTTAGTTGATGGACCTAGAAGGGAAGTTATTGGTTATATGGTTCCAGGCCCTTGGCTTAAATGCTGCTTAAAAGATCTTACTACAAAGAAGGCAGTTACGGTATTATGATCTTAGACCTCATACTGTTCATATCCTAACTTAATGACATTATCAAAGATCTTGCAGATGGAAAGTGCTCTTCTCCCACAAGCAAAGGCCAACCAGATCTCTTCACTTTAGAGGACCTTCTTTCTCTTCCTTTTACAGATCATCCAAAGGGCAGTGTGACAAGTTTTTCACCTTATGAAAGGCTTCTCCATATAATACTTCCCTAACCAGAGAATAAATCCACAATCGCACAAAGAGCTGCCTTTGCCTGAGTCCGTTTCTTGAGATGGGTGGGGGCAGTTTTCTCTGTTTTAAGTTGCTTCCATAGGTCTGCAGAGCCTGAGATTCTGGCGATTTTAGTCCACGTAAAATCTATGTTTTGCACTTTAGACTTAAGTAAAATGAAGCTATATTATCCTTTTAGGAGTTTGCACTTAAGCATGCACGTTCTAGCAGGTGGATTGGACAACAAATTGGTAAGACCTGCTCCTAATGGAAGGAAGCATCTTTTTGGAAGACTCTCCGTTACCATGTCTATCAGCATGTCCTTGGTATTCATCATTAGGCATCATTGAATCAAGTATTTAAGGTGCCACTTGGTCCTTTATTCATACATATACACTAGATGTGTATGCTCAAGTGGATTTAGTTTTTGTCCAGAAAGTCTTGGAGGCAGTCATTTAGGATTAGATCAAGTGGTGATCATTGCCGTTTTACCTTCTGTTTCTGTGGGACTGCTTGTAAATGTCCCCAGATGTCTACGTTTCCCCAGTAAATTATTAGAGAAAATTGGAAAATTTTGTAAAGTTCTTTTTTGTTTTGTTTTATTCACTTAATTGAAAGACTCAAATCCTGCCCTTATTTTTTAGTATTTTTTTCCTCTGTCCCTATTGTAAAGTGAAGGGGATGGACTGCTTGTACAGCATTTAAACTCCCGTAGGCCGAGAATGTATTCCAAATGTCTACTATGTTCCCTAATTAATTAAGGGTGAAAATAATAGTGCTGTGAGTACAAATGAGTCTTTTTTTTTTTTTTTTAATGGCTAGATTCAGCAGCTTTCAAAGAAAGAGATCGAAGACCTTCTTAGACGTGGAGCATATGGAGCCATCATGGATGAGGAGGATGAAGGATCAAAATTTTGTGAAGAAGATATTGACCAGATTCTTCAGAGGAGGACAAAGACAATCACCATAGAATCTGAAGGAAGGGGTTCAACATTTGCTAAGGTATGGTTAATGCCTACAGTAAATAGAAAAATGTTACAGATCTTATTTTTAAATATTGTTTAGTGGGAAATGTTTCCAAGAATTAAGTGTTTTTCATTTCTTTTTTTGTTATCCTTGATAACAGTCCTTCATAAACCGTATTTCAACAGGAGTCTTTTAGCAATCATGGTCATTCATCCACCTGTCATGCTTTGAAAGTCACTAAAAGTTTTTTTGGGTTTTTTTCCCCCCTGTAGGCCAGTTTTGTGGCTTCTGGGAATAGAACTGACATCTCATTGGACGATCCAAACTTCTGGCAGAAGTGGGCAAAAAAGGCTGAAATTGACATTGACTCAGTTAGTGGCCGAGTAAGTACGTTCTGATATGGTTCATCACACACAAAGCTTTTCATTATGTTATTGAATAATTCAAAAAAGCTGATGGAAAACAATAATTACCATTTGTTTTTTGATAGAAAAATAGCACATTTCTTGGGCTCAGATTTTAATATACATGGAAACAGGTCATGTAATACAACCATTACCAATCAACCAAATGACTAATATTGTTGTAAATGTTAACCTTGTTGTTACAGAACAGTTTGGTTATAGACACTCCCAGAATCCGCAAACAGACCCGGCCTTTTAGTGCCACAAAAGAAGAACTGGAGGAGTTGTCTGAAGCAGAAAGTGAAGGAGATGACAAGCCCAAGCTACGAAGACCATGTGATCGATCCAGTGGTTATGGAAGGACTGAGTGCTTCCGCGTGGAGAAGAATCTTTTGGTATACGGGTAAGATTGTCATAGTACAAACAGCAAAATATTATACTGCAAATATTCTTAAATGCTAGTAGTCCTAGGACTCGGTTTCAGGGAGGTGGAACAAAAAGGTAAAGCTATGAGGAGGTAGATTGACCTTTCTGATCTTTCCAGGTGGGGAAGATGGAGAGACATTTTGTCTCATGGCCGTTTCAAGAGGCAGCTAAATGATCAAGATGTTGAAATCATCTGTCGAGCTTTGCTGGCGTACTGTCTAGTGCACTACAGGGGAGATGAGAAAATTAAGAGTTTCATCTGGGATCTCATCTCTCCAACAGAAGACGGGCGGACGCGAGAGCTACAGAACCATCTTGGTATGTGCTTGTGTCTTGAATTTGTTTGCTTTTGTAAAGTAAGATACTGAAATCAACAAATTTGTAAATTGCATTGTAGACACAGTGCTGTGCGTTCATTAATTTTCCTGAATAAAACAATTCTTACATTTACTACTACACATAATAGATACTTGAATACCCTGTGCTGGTGCAAGCTCATAGCAAAGGTACTAAATACTAATTACAATTATTTTAATGTCTTGGCTTATATGTTCATATTGCCAAAAAGCTGAAGATACATTTCAACAGTTCTTGAAGACCAGGAATAAATGGACAATAATAATTCTTGCATTAAGTCATAGGTGTACCAAAGGAATCCATGAGGAGCTGAAGAAACAATCATTAAAGTTTGGAAAGTTTGCTTTAAATTGTACGTGCAGTCAGTACGGAAGTTTTTATGAGTTGGAACATCGCAGGTCTTTTAACATTGTTTGAAGAAATAAACTTACAACTAAGATTTTCTGATGTTTTACTTGCCTTACTTGGAAGATCCTGTTTATGATTTCATATAAACTTAATTAAAATTATTTGGGAACCAGTCAATTGTTTATAGCTGCTTTTTATCCTCCAGGTAGGTGTTTACCTAAGAAGATTTTGTACTGTGTTTGCAGTAGAGATTTCTACCTTTGTACAACAAATATTTGTAGCAGCAATGTTCTATGCACGCCAGAATTAATGTGGCATGAGATGCAGAGATAACCTGACAAGAGCAGCGAGAGACACCAGCAAGGTCATCGGGGCAGTGAGACCTATGGAGATGGAATCATGCCTGCTAACAGGGAGACTTTAAAGCTAGCCATACATCGAGCGAATTTTGGCCAGCCACAGTTCGCTATGTGGATGGCCCTGTTGGCAGCCTCCAGCCCAACATCCTTTGATCTGAAAATCAAAGGAGCCAGGTGGAAATTGTCGGCCAAACACTGACGGCAGTCAACCGGCTGCATGCATTGTTAAGCTATTCTGACAGTGACACACCCAGTCGGAATATAATGGGTAAGGGGCATTCCCCCTTCCACGCTATATAATGTGGGTGGGGGAATCTGTTCATAATCTGAGACTTATATCTGTGTGATGAGTGCCTCCAGCTGACAGAGGTGCTTGTTATTGCCTCAGAAATATTATGCAAGGAGGAGCTTGAAATGTGGAACGATAATGTATCACTGTCGGGATGTTTATGGCCACCTTAAAGCGAACCTGGCATAGCTTAAAATGTTAGCTGGGCAGTGCAGGTTCTGCTTAAGTCTAGATGAAGCTCCATCAGCCTTTCATTTTTCATGTGTCAGAACATCAGCGTGCGGCGCTGGCATTTGAAAGTTGATTGACAGGTGGTTAGGTAAGCCCTACTCCCTAGGAGGGGGGTGGAACTCTTTCAGTTTACAATGAAGTTGAGTTCCCATTTTCAGCCTGGGTTTTCAGTCAAAGTACCTAGTATTGTGAACTCAGGGTCAATGTTATTAACCTCTAAACACAATGCAATAATCATGCACTAATACCCTTCATTTAGGAGCGTTTTTCACAGTTTAGAATATAATTCCTGGATCCCAGATTCTTTGTAGAAACCAGTTATGAGATAAATGTGGAGGCTGCAATTGTAGCAGTCCCTGTTTTTTTATTACATGTTTAGTTTTATTAACTTGTTTAGTTTTGGCTTCATTGAGGAAAAGGAGCTTTTTTTAGTAACTACATGTGAAATTTTAATGGTATGCTGCTGAGAAACTTAATCAACGATTCACAATTAACTCATTTGTAATAGATTTTAAAGGTTTGGTAATTGTCTTTGCCGATAAAAGGTTAAATAGCTAATTTACATAAAACTAAAATCAACTTTGAAATGTGTCGAACTTTTTTTTTTTACATGCGTTTCTCCAAATTGCAGGCCTGTCTGCTCCAGTGCCACGGGGAAGAAAAGGGAAGAAAGTAAAATCCCAGACTAGCACCTTTGACATCCACAAGGCTGAATGGTTGCGGAAATATAACCCGGAGCACCTGCTGCAAGATGATGGGTACAAGAAGCACTTAAAGCATCACTGCAACAAGTAAGACCAAGATCCAGTGTGAAGTGTTCGACTTTAGAGAAAACCTGTTGCCACTGCAAAATACGGGTTTATGTGACTTCCCATAGCTCCAATAGTATATGTTTAAAATGTTGCTTTTTAATTTCTTACCCTTACCTACCTAAAAAGCCATTGTTTGGATCTCAGTCCTAACTGTCATAGCGAAGCTAGTAAACTAGAGAGAGAGTACTATCCAACCTTTGTACCATTAACAACCTGTGTCACGCCTGCTAAAGAAACCACCGGGAAAGTGTTTCATTCATGGGAATGACAGCTGGATGTCTATCTGCTTGACCAGTGAATGACAGGTTCTGTCATTTGGGGTGTCATTACATGTTAATGAAACCCCTAAAAGTGAATGTCAGCTTCTGTCATTCATTTTGTCCTTCCTTCACACATCAGTAGCAGAGGAGCAGCTATTAGTGTGTTGTTTGACTTACTAGAGAAGGAAATGGATCTCTGAATGGGGTGTGACCAGGGAATCCAAGATGGAGAGTAGTATGTATTTTTGCACTTGCATTTCAGGATGCAGGAAAAAGATGAATGTTGATATGTTTTTGTATGAAAATGTAATCTATTTTCAAAGTTTCCTGTAGTGGTAACTTGCATTTATATCAAACCAACACAAGAGAATATCCGAGCTTCATGCAGGTTATCATAACGCCGCAATGTTGCTATAATGTGTCCTTTTTATTGCAGGGTTTTACTTCGAGTTAGAATGCTGTACTATCTCAAGCAAGAAGTGATTGGCACCCAGAGCAAGAACGTTCTGGAAGGAGTGGATGTTAGGTAACTGTATAATAACACAGATGAAGGCCTTAATGCTGTCTTGCTAGTGCATGTTGAAGTCTTTGTTCTTAGTTGTGAATTCATAACTTTGTTTTTTGATTGCACTGAAATTCATGGTAGCCTGTCATGTTTAACCACTTCAACTCTTGCACTTCTATACCATTCCTTATGGACCTAAGCAATTCTTACATTTCTGCTACGGGCCTGTTTGTTTAATTTAATGATAACTTTGTCATTCCATTAGCAGCAGTGAGTTTGTTTTTGTTTTCAGAAGGCTTATGAAAAATGATTCATGTAATTTTAACAAAATTTTGAGCCACGCACCTCACACCACCAAGCTGGCACATATAATTATATATGATACCATATAATTATCATCAAGTAACTCCCTTAGGCCTTGTTCACACCAAATGCAGACCAGATCCGGTCAGGTTTCTGCACACGCACGATGCGGTTTTTTTTGCATGAAAAGCAGCTGCAGGTGCCAGTGAGCAAACAGGCGTGTGTAGTGTGATAAGGAGGAGTGGTGGGGGGAAGGGGGGTGGATGGAATACTGCATTGAGGAACTACTAGTATACAATGCCATTCACATTGAAGTACTCACCACAGCTCTCCTTATCTGTCAAGGACATATCCTTATATCCTGGGGAAACTCTCCCTGCTATCAAACTCCACTGGTCAGCCTTCTTTCTATTGTTCTTATATTGAAAGTGTCTGCTGTCATATAGCTCAGGGCACTGTTGAACCATACTTATGAATGTCTCTGGGTCACAAAACTGGTCCACCATTTTTCCTTTGCTCTCCAGCTCACAAGGTCACCTTTCCCAAAGACAGGAAGTGACAAAGGAAGATTAGGTCATGACAGATGACCACAGAGGTTTTTTTTCCTAATGGTTATTTTTTCCCATTGGGTTGCATTGCGTTGCGTTTTTGATGCGTTCCAGAGCAGATCCAGAGCAGGTAAAATAGGGCTTTGCCGCAGTTTTTTCACCTGCTCTGCATCTGGTCTGGATCCGCACGCTGCGATGTGAACTGGAGGTCAAAATACCATAGGAATACATTGGACGCAGTTTTGATCCGGTCTGCACCTGCTCTGGTCTGGATCTGCTCCGCGCTTGGTGTGAACAAGGCCTTAACATCAAATATCCAGTTTCACCTTTTACTAAACCTTTTTTTTTTTTTCTTTTCCAATGTTAAACAGTGAAATCAATTTATGGGTTCCTGAGCCAGATCATTCGGAGTTACCTGTGGGCTGGTGGGACGCTGAAGCAGATAAATCTCTTCTAATAGGGGTATTTAAACATGGTAAGTAGAATGTCACCATTTTGTCAGAAAATACATTACAAACTATGTGTAGTCTATTTGAAACCACAAAGTTACCCAATGACCCTGATCCACCACAGCCTCTACCAGGTGTCTGCCAGTGGAGCGCTCCCTTTCTCCGATGCTCAGTAGGCCCAAAATAAAAGATGGCTACACACCAATGATGTCTCTTTGTATAAAAAACAACTTTATTACAACTCCATCTCTGCCTCCAGTCCACTCCTCACTGACACATTTCACTCTTATGCCTGTAAGGGTGAAACCGATCAGAGAGGGGCGTACCAGAGGCAAGACTGTGCGGCAGAGAGGGAGTCGCAAAAAAGTTGCTTTTATACGAAGTGATGAATACGAAATGTGTAGCCGCCTTTCATTTTAAGTCTATGTTAAACCTAAATATATTAACTCAGCACAAAATTTCAAAGCTGAACTCCAGGCAGAAATTAAAGCTGAAAACATTAAAGCTAAATATGTATGAACTGGATATGTCAAACTATACGGTTAGTGTTGGTATCTAGACAGCATAATAACGCACACCCTTTAACTTACCGGCAGACTGTATTGAAGTAGAAAGCTTGTTATAATGTCCGCCACAGTCTGTGGATAGGCAGTGAAGAAGCAGAAGCACAGTAATGAGAGAATCACATGGCTCTCTTATCATTGCTAGATGGACAGTATTGCGCAGTACAATAAAGCCTTACTGGAGAATACTGTTGGCCTTCCCTCTCATGTTTTACAGGGCATTACCAGGGGCTGATATCAAGTCAGAATCAGGCACTCTTGCTAGCTGTATGTAAAAATAATTTAATGATCTTTAGTGAATCCATAACTGAGATACATTTAAGTTTCTTAACTTCATGTGTCAACAGGTTATGAAAAATACAACACCATCAGGGCAGACCCAGCACTCTGCTTCCTGGAAAGGGCTGGAAAGCCTGATGAAAAGGCTGTGGCAGCCGAACAAAGGGCCAATGATTACATGGATGGGTAAGTTGGGATATACAACATATAGACAGAACATTTTTCCTTGGATTTGAATCTAGTAATAATGAATTCTCATTCTTTAACAGGGATGTTGAAGATCCAGAGTACAAACCAGCTCCTGCTTTATTTAAGGATGAAATGGAGGTAACATATGATACTTGTGCAGTATTCATTTCAGCTTATTGATAAAAAGTAGAACAGAGAAAATGTAGCTCTTACCTATAACAGGCAATTGACTTCTTTCTTAAATATATGAAACTCTGCTTTCATTGCTTTTCTTTCTGTAGGATGATGCTTCATCTCCTGGTGATCTTGTTATAGCAGATGGTGGTAAGTTATTGGTATAAGCCTGTCTACTTTTAGATTCCAGTTATTGTATGATAGTGTTATAAGGTGCACTAGAATAACATATATATATACTATCATAATAGAGAGATTTAAAGCGGTATATGGTTTGCCTTTAGATTTTTCTAATCCACTTGAACTTCACGCTAAAGATGCCACTTTTTATATTTTTACATTTCACTTACCCCAGTTTAGCCCCCTCTCCTTTTTCTCTGTATTATGGTGGGCAGTAGGCAACTCAGTTTAGAATACGATACTGTGTATGATTCCTTTTTACAGACCTGCTACATGAGAACCCAAACACCTGCTAATTAGTAAAATTACCCTACTGGTACTTAGTAATTCGAGAACTCTTATAGAGCAACAATTATTTGGTATGGAAGCATTTTATAGCTATAGAATATATCATGTTGTTCAGATTGTTCTTAAAACGATACCGTGTGGTTGCCCATTTGGGGCACGGTGTCAGTATCTGTGTAAAGCCAACCCTCGACCACTTTATACTCTTCTCTCCCGCTCTTCGCCACAGCTTCTTCTTCTGTGGCCACCACTGCAAAATACCTGGTGCTTCAAGGTATGGGGAGCATGTAACCCTTTCCCATGATGCAGTTCTTGGGCTTATAAGCCAATCCATCCTGTAATATAGTGGCCACCAAAATACCTGGTTCCAGAAAGTGGTGACCTAAACTCAATTATGTGACCGTGCTTAGTCCTAGTGATTGCCTAAGGTCTGAGCACGGCATCATGGGAGGATGCCACAAGTATCATGGGAGGATGCCACAAGTTCTCCCATGCCCAAAAGCATCAGGTATATTTCAGTGGCGGCCACAAAAGTAGCAGAGGAAGGCTGAATAGGTAAATGTAAAATATTCGGTAGTGTGCTTTATACTGTTGCTTTTCCCTGAATGGACAAGGTGACAGTGTCTCTTTAAGAGTCTATAGGTTCAAAAGCTGTACCTTCACAATTGAAGAGGCTTTTTTCAGGCAATCATTGTGCTTCCTTATGTGCTTATGATTTTAACTGTAACATAACAATGGAGTTCAAAATAATGCAGATTGTAATTTCTGTACATTGTCCCTTTTATTTATTTGCACAGATGTTCAGGGGCCTGAAGGTGATAAAAGTTACTGGCCCACACAGTCAGCACTAACCACACGCCTCCGTCGACTTATAACAGCATTCCAGCGCACTACCAAGTTTAGGCAGATCCAACAAATCCCAGCAATGTTTCCAATTCACGCAGCAGTAACACAAGCACCTTATGAAGATGTTTCCTTGAATCCAAAAGTTGCTGCAAAAATAGAAAGACAGCAAAGGTTAGCAATATTTTTAACTTTGTGATTTAAATCAAAGTACACCAATGTTATGTGCAATGCAAACTGCAGTAATCTGTAGCAACCAAACAAAGTTCTTGGAGTAATTTGGACCATATAAAATAGAAGTGATGATTGACTGTGGAGTGTTACTGCAATTTTCAAGTTCTATGCCAAGCTACCTCCATCAGGACCGTGGTAGCTACATTTTTAATAACATTTTGGTTGTATGTAATGCTCTATAAATTTGATATTGACATTTCGCATGTTTAATATTAACACAAGCTTTCAGCCAGAGTGGCCATGCTAATGAAAGCTCTCTTATGATTGGTTGCTGTGGCTTGGGGTTCATCACCAGTGATACATTTCTGAATGTTTTTGTTTGATATAGGTGGACTCGAAGAGAGGAAGCTGACTTTTATAGGGTTGTCTCTACATTTGGCGTGGTGTTTGATCCAGGGAGAGGGCAATTTGATTGGACCAAGTTTCGAGCAATGGCCAGACTTCATAAGAAAACAGATGAAAGTCTTGAGAAATATCTTTATGCCTTTATAGCAATGTGTCGGAGGGTGTGTCGGTTGCCTTCTAAAGAAGGTGCGTATCATACATACTGTATATAAATATAACCCTATTGACACTGATTTTCATGGTTGTGTTTACTAAAAGGTGACAATCCTGCCACTTTCCTGCAAATATATTGTAGGAAGTAGAGTGCAGGGGCCCCTAAATTTGTGCTTCCAGACTACATGAAGACCATTTATGAGAAGCCTTTTGGTGTTTATCATTAGTCTCCTCCCATATAGCAGCTGTTCAAACTTTTAATTTAATATATATATATATATATCTATATATATATACATATATGTGTGTGTGTGTGTATGACAATCTGTGCTACTCCATAGCAGCCATTACCGCTCTCCTTTTACAGAATGTAGAAGAGAATCTAGTTGCTGTAGCGTAACAATGTCTGGAATAATTCCACAGTGACACTTTCATAAATGAGTCCAATTGTTCCTTGAAACCTCTCACCAGCTTGAAGATAATTAGTGGATACATTTAGATATGAGTTTACTCGGTTGTTTTCTTTCAGACATTGCAGACACGTCAGTATCGATCCAGCCAATCACAGAGGAGAGAGCCTCCAGAACATTGTACCGCATTGAGCTCTTGAGGAAGGTTCGGGAACAGGCTATACGTCATTCACAGCTGTTTGAGCGCTTAAAACTATGTCAGCCAAACCCAGACTTGCCTGTGTGGTGGGAATGTGGTACACACGACAGAGATTTGTTAATTGGAGCTGCTAAACATGGCGTGAGCAGGACAGACTATCACATTTTGCGGGATCCTGAGCTTTCCTTTATGGCATCTCAAAAGAACTACAACCAGACTAAAGGAACTTCCTCTACTTCTCTAATAGCCCCACCAAACCAGCTGCCCTTATCATCCTCACCTCTTACTCCTCAATTAAGAACACATGAACTAAAGGGGAGCCCCATTGAGGAGATTAAACTTAAAGATGATGCTGGAAAGGAGGATATTCCAGTGTCGGAGGAAGAGCCTGTGAAAATTAAAGAAGAGGCACCAAGTCTTGTCAATGGCCCACTGACTCATACTGGAGAACCTAAGCCAAGTGCCAAGTCAGAGACCAATAGGCGCATGGTAGCAGCAAGGACTGAGCCTCTTACGCCGAACCTAACTTCCAAGAAACAAAGAATTAGCAAACGAGGTTCAGCCTCAAGTTCAGACTCTGATTCAGATTCAAACCACTCGTCATGCTCCTCCAGATCTTCCTCTTCCTCATCTTCCTCCTCTTCTTGCTCTCGCTCAGGATCCAGTTCTTCCTCCTCCTCTTCCTCCTCCTGCTCCTCTTCCTCCTCTTCGTCTTCCTCCTCTTCATCTTCATCGTCTTCATCTGAGGATAGTGACAGTGATGATGGAGATGGACAGAAATGTGGTAAGTAGAGGGTTGTTTAATCATATACAGTGTCCCCCAAGTGTAGGATGTGTTTCAGTGAAACCTTCAGAGTTGGTGGGTGGCTAAAACATTTTGTGTTGTGCCATTTAGGAGACAATCCTTTCTCTTGGTAGGCACTAGCATATAGTTTTCTTCTATTCCCCCCCTAAGACCATTTGGATGAGTACTTTTTGGTTACATGCTTTCTGAGGATAGAGTGTTTGGCTTGGAATGGAAAGGACACATTTGAATTGAGTAGCTGAAAAAATGTGACTTTCTTTATCTTCCATTGAGGGACACAGAAATTCTTTGAATTCTTAGTGTCGAGTTGTACTGCTGCCTACCGGAGAAGTACAGTCTAAGAATTCCTGTGCTTGTCAATGAACTTCAAAAAAAAGAATATTACAGTGAGTACAAAAATCCAATTTTCGTAATCATCCATTGAGGGATACAGGAATTCTTGGACTATATTTCTCCCGGAGGTGGCCCTATAACCCGACAGTCTAATCCCAGTGCCCCTTAAAGGACTGCAAAAAAAGGACTTTGCCTGGAGTCCAATCTGATTTTTGGTCATTACTGGCCGTGTCTATGCAGCACACTCTTTACAGAGACAGCAGTATTGTACAGGCCGGTGGTACTTGTGGTTCAATAGACGGGCATTTTCACAAACAGTAAAATTACATGACTGGTTAGCGTTTGAAGTTGAATTTAAATAGTCTTTAAAAAGTTTGTTGAAAGCAAGTTCACACATTTTTAATATCTGTGTTGCTGATGTGCAGTTACCCCTTGTATCCACTTACAATTCTGCTTTCAAAAGGAGGCTATGGTATAAAATAACGAGTGCTTGTACTAATACATGTGAATGTTGTAATATCTGTTTTAGGCTTACCGACCATAACTCGGGTGTATTACAAAAATCTGAGTTGTGTTTTTTATTAGATTGAGTTACTCATTTGTGTAGTGCTGAGAAGGATATGAGAATACCCTAAGCTAAAGGTGTCCACATGATTTTGGCAGATATAGATGATGGCACACAATAACAACCAAGCTGAAGTTACAGAAAGAAAGGCTTGCAAGTGAACTAAAATCATAATGTGATAATGATGTGTGGGCAATTTCCATATAATCAGTTGTGTCAGTAAGCAGGATGGCATGTTATGCACACATCCCGTACACAGATGTTTGAATTACTACTATTATTATAAGCAGGTGTAGGTACAAATTCAAAATGGAGTTCCAATAAGTCATTAGAAGTATCACAGGAAGAGCCTTTAGTCAATGCTATGTTTTAACCTTTATTACATGTTTAAAAGGGAAAGTATTGTGAGGGGAATTTATCAAAACTGGAGCAGACAAAATCTGGAGCAGCTGTGCATGGCAACCAATCAGCGTCTCTTTCATTTTCAAATCTTAACTGGCCAACTGAAGAGAGAAGCTGATTGGTTGCCATGCACAGCTGCTCCAGATTTTGTCTGCTCCAGTTTTGATAAATTCTCCCCAGTGTGTTTTCTGAGAATAAATATTTTCCGTTATTATTAGGGTAGCTGCAGTTACTGTGGAGCAAATTCATGCTCAAAGTTCACAGCAGAGATAGGTAAGCAAGCGGAGCTGCTAAGAGAACAACTGACTTCAGCACTTCTGCTCTGGATTTTGAGGATGGATTGCTCTGCAGTGCCTACAGCTGCAGAGAACAGTAAGGGGTTGTTTTAAAAGGTCCTTTCCTGCTTAATAGACTATGTGCATGCATACATTTTCATAGCCTGGCCACAGGTTAATCTTTTTGATGTGACTTTTGCAATCTTACATGTTTTATTTTCCATATTAATTTTATACATTCTGTACATTTCATAAGGGTGATGTCAGGTGGGAACATTCTGCATTGCATCTGACTTGACCAGTTGAGAATGGATGTATAATTGGATGTTTATATTTGGATGTATAATTTATAATTTTGGAAGCTAAAACAGGATGTAGCATTGTATGTACAGATGTCGACTGGTTAGCATATGATGCCAGTTAAAGGAGAGTGAAATGCAGACATCTCTATAGTTAGAGCCGATGTGTGACACTGCTGCTGTCATATGTCCGCTTATAGATCGAGAACTGAGCAATCATAAACCATTGGTTATTTTTTTTGTTTTTAATTTCATTCATTTTGTTTGTCCACAAGAAAAAGAGATGTGCCTGCTCATTTATTGTTGAAATACAGATATCTGTTGCACCAGCTCTTATCTCAGCACTGAGAAATTGTTACAATAACAAAAGCTCTGTCTTAAACACAAGCTTTTCTCTTAGAAGAGATGGCCTGAGGGTTCTGTATAGTCCGTTCACAGTTGTCTAGTCCTGAAAGAACAGGGGCAAGAAGATGATGGGGAACAAATGAAGACAGCTTTAATTTTGCTGCCTTCTAGTCATTCTTTTATTTCTAATTCTGTTTTCTTGCCTTGCAGAACGAGTGCCCCATGTCAAGGCTTATGATGAAGAGAGTGTAGCCTCTCTGAGCACCATACAAGATGAAACTCAGGACAGCTTTCAACTGGACAACGGAATCCCAACCTCAAACTGTCTTGTGCAAGGTGGATATATGTTTGCAGCTGCCCACTGGCCAAAGGTGACTGAGATATATTATACTGTTTTCTATGAACAATGTTTTGGTGAAATTTTATGAGATACATGCAATCCCATCAAAAAGACAAAATATACAAGGGTTAAACATAAAAGTAAAAACAATGTTCAAATAGCGGCCAATGCCTGCCTATTCGAAATTAAAGAAATGGGTGAAATGAAACCTAGTGAAAGTCCTTATTTATACAGTCAGTCATGAATATGAAAGGATAGACATAAAGTACATTTGGAAGCAGATGTTGGTGAAAGGAGATGGTGCAGGCGGGAGGATAACACTATTGAACACTAGGGAGGAAGGATGATTCTGCATGGAGTGATCAGTTCTGATCAGATACTTTTAGTAGGGTTACTTTTGTTTTTTTGATACATATAAACATACCAATGTGTATTTCCAATTACATCCATCACTTTATCCTTGCAACTGTCAGCTACTTCCAGTGATGGTTTGCAGTGATAGGGCTGGGATCCAAAACGATGTGCTCCAGTTTTGGTGATTGCATTCATCGTAATAGTAACGATTGGCTGAGCAAACAGTGTTGCCTAAACATACCTTGTCATAAGAAAAAAGGTGATGATTTATAACTTGTCATTATTCATCCCCTAGGGAGAGGAGAACATTAGTGTCTATGTACCTCATATTAAGGGTAACTTGGACATTTAATCATAAAGTGGACCTTCACTTAAATATTTTACTTGGCATCATTCTAATTCTCCCTGTTGCATATTTGCAGGTATTTTGTGAAGGGGGGTAAACTAGGATGACGTACATCTGGCTGCTCACAGTCTCATGGGATACGTCAGACATCCCAGGAGGCTTTAGGATGCTCTACCCGCAGTCCACCGGCCCACACATGCGTAGTGGCGCTTGAGCAACTATGTTTCATTTGGGAGCCAACTGTCACTTTCTGATCACTCAGCCAGCTCCTAAGGCTGGGTTCACACCTGGGCGTACGGAATATGCGCGTTTCATGCCGCGCGTTTTTACTGCAATTTGCGGTAAAAGAAACCGCGACAAACACGCGTTTACGAGGGCTATGCAGGTGTATCCTAATGGATACGCTCGGAAAATACGCCCCAAAGAAGCTCCTGTACTTCTTTGGGCATAGGCCGTTTTTCAGTTCCTACGCTCTGAAATACGCCCAGGTGGAAACCATGCCCATAGGCAATTATTGGTTTTCACATGCTGAGCGTTTTACAGCGCGTCTCTACGCGCTGTAAAACGCCCAGGTGTGAACCAGGCCTAAATCCAAGATGGCAGTCTCAACCAGCCCACGCATGCGAAGTGGTGCTACAGCAGCCATCTTTGATTTGGAAGCCAGCTGTTACCTTCTAATCACTTCTCTAGCTCCCAAATCCAAACTGGTGGAGCATGAGAAGAAAAAGCTTTGGAGACTTCAGGTTGTAGGAGGATAGCGCGGGACTGCTTGGGCTGGTAAGTTTTTTTTGTTTTTGTTTTTTTAAGTCGGCAGCTACAGTTGCTTTAACATTACTTGTAGCTGCTGACTTGCTTTTCCCTGTGCCAGATGAAGTTCCTCTTTAATGCATGTGGTTGTTCTGTACCCCCAACTTTCCACCTCCTTATCCTTTTTGTTGAACAGTGAAGCTGTCTTTTAGTTTTTTTTTTGATATATTAGAGAAAGTCACCACCTCTGCCAGGTTGTTTTGTGCTGTGTACCATTGGGAAAAAAACATTTCACTACCTGTCCCAGCAATGCAACCTGAAGTTAGAGATCTCCCAAAGTGAACATACAGCACAAATACTGACCTAGAGATGAAGCTTGTGAAGGCGAGTGTGATTATTCACATATACAAGCTGTTACATTACTTGCCTTGATCACTGCTGAGAATTTTTGTATTTGTTTAACATGTTACCTTGGTTAAAGCACTTTTGACAATCCTGGCTAGTTTTACCAGCATGTTAATCAAAATTGTATTTCAACAGGATCGTGTAATAATTAACAGATTGGACAGTATATGCCAAGCAGTATTGAAAGGAAAATGGCCCACGCCCCGAAAAACCTATGATGGAGTCCGTGTGGTGACCTTCTACACCAATCAACTGTTAGATAGCCCCGGGGCTGCCTCCGAGTACATTGAACCAGGTTTACAGCCATCCACCTGCGTGGCCGTCAAAGCCGAACCCTGCCAATCACCACAGATGTCAAAGGTGAAGAAGCATGTACCAGACAAGGAGTTTACAGTGAAAATCAATGACGTATGTTTATTTTTTTCTCTTGCCCTGGGACCTGGTTGCTGTGTGCAGCATGCTCATTCTCCAACTGGCTGCCTGCTCTTTTCTTACTACTTAACTCCTCCAGTTTTTTGGAGTGGATCTTGCTTTTTTTGTGCCAATTTTAAGCTGATTGCGCTTGGACCTGCAAAACATAAATATGAGCCATAATTTTACACGGCAAACTTTCCAGCCATTCTGGATTTGCTACCCATTTTATGCTTCCACGGGGTGCTCTTTATTGCACTGCCTTTAAACGCCATTTTTGTGTGTTCTGTTTTTTTTTCCCTGGCTGTTTTTAATCTTTTTAGCATGCATTTCCACATGCTTCGCAGAGACCTGCATTTTTACATATGGCAAACTGACATGCTTTTCTACCAAGAATTTGCAGTTAGCAATGAGAAGCTTTTGCACAATATGCCTAAACACAGCCTCCCAATTAGATAATAAGGCATCAATAGGTGTACAGTGCTTAAAGATAGTAGGCACACATTAGAAACATTTCAGAGGGGAATTTGGCAAGACTGGAGCAGACATAATTTGGAGCAGCTGTGCATGGCAATCAATCATCTTCTCTGTTTCATTTTCAAAGCTTATCTGGACAAATTGAAGAGAGAAGCTGATTGGTTGCCATGGGCAACTGTTCCAGATTTTGTCTGCTCCAGTTTTGGTAAATTCCCTTCTGTGTTTCCCATTACGGATGAAAGGTGGACTATGCTTCAGACCTCTTGTGTAGTAAGTGAGAGTTTTCTTGCCCACATTTACTTTTTAAAGTGGACCTGCCACAAATCTAGAAATTTCAGACCAAGCCAGGGCTGGAAGAATCCCAAAAGTCAGGTAGTCAATGCCCTTTTAAAAATTACAGCCTGCTCCTAACTTCTGAGGTTTTCTCTAGTTGTTGACTCCTAAAATAAAGGATATGATCACAAAATACATAAGCAGAAGTTGCCTTAAAGTGTAACTCCAGTCAAACTGAATAACAAAGCAATTGGTAGATCCCGAGAAACCAACAAATGCATTTATATTCAAATCTGAACATTTCCTCTAAAGTTTGTCGGCCACCCCCCTTCCCACTTTTTAAGCTACCCTATTGGTCAGTGAGAAAATCCTTCACATAAAAGTACCAACAGGGAGCCCAGGAAGCAGACAAGGCAAACGAAGAGTCAAAATGTATATAGAGATACAGCTGCCTGTACATCTATTGATAGTTTTGCCATACTGAGTATTTGAGTACTTGTACTCACCCAAATGCTCTGTTACTTGCCCACGATACCGGAACTTCCGGTCAGAGAGAAATTTCCTCTGAACGGCAGTGCCGCGAGGGAACATGGAGCCGGCTTCTGGTCAATAGGGAAGCCGGGTGGCAGGTAATTACTTGCCACCCAGCTTTACAACTGGCCAGGAAGCCAGCTCGATACTGATTTGTCAGGAAGCCGGCTTCCCAGCCAATCAGCATTGAGCCGGCTTCCCTGGCAATCAGGAAGCCAGGCGGGTAATGACCTGCTTCCTGATTGGCCAAGAAGCTGGCTCCATGCTAACAGAAGTAACAGTATCGGCGAAAGATAAATATCGGTACTCGATACCGAAAAACCGGTATCGGTGCATCCCTAGTTTTCATTGAGGATAACCTCCTCCCATGCAAGTTTTTCTCAACTACTCAGTTTGAGATGCCCATGTTTGTGACAGGTTTACTTCAAGCAAAATTAGGACTTATACCAGGCTCTTGTTTACCTGGCTTCTCCAGACTTTGGTCCTCTAAACAGGCAACCCTAAGTATGGCCATAGACAAGGCGATTTATAATCCAAAAATTAAATGATACAAACACAATCTACGTGATAAAAATCTTGAAATGCTATGTTGGAGACCTGGCAGATTTTAAATAGATTTGTGAGCCTGTTCTTATTGATACGATTTCTGTACGGAGAATGGTTTTCACTCTGTTGGAAGATCAGTTGACATTTACCAGTTTATTATCCATTTTCTGAACCTTTTTCTATAGGAAAGAATACAATTGGCATGCAAGCTTGTTGAATCAGATGAAAAAATGTCCTGTCTCTGGTTAGCTTAAAGTGGAACTAAACTTTTAATACTCTTTAATACAAAATCTCTTTTGCCATGCAGCCCGGCTCTATTCTCAGCATGCCAGACATAATGTAACACCTGTGCACATGCGCAGGAGTTACATCATCGGTGACCTCCCCAATGGCTGAAGAGAATTGGTGCTGGACCCAGAAGAATCGGAAGTGGGGGACAAAGGGGTCACAGGATCTTGGACTTGTCATTGCTGGAGGACAGCATAGTGGGGGTGGTAGGTGTGTGCCATATTCTGCAAGAATGCTGTGAATTCTTAAAGATTATGGTAAAAGCTCACCCCCCACCAAGAAGTTTACTTTTGCTATAGTTTACTAGGGCCCTTAGGTAAAATCAGGTTGGTAGAGGAAGACAGATAGGAAGATTACAGCCCATGATACCTAATGTAAAGTGAACATGATACCTAGACTAGTATGGCAAAGTACAGTTTAATATAACATATGTGGCAACAGCCCAAGGGTAATGTACCAATAAAGCATGTAGAGTTTATGGCCATGCTTGGAAATAACAGCCTTACAGAGGATGGGTCTGGATATTGTCTAATTTAACAACAAAAGATAAATAAACAGGTTATTTACTGGGGCTCTAATTCTAGAGCTGTCATTTATATGCCATTTTTATGATTTAGCCCTTTCAGGGGTCTGTCAGATGTTTGTAAATGATTAGTGTCCAGGAAATTGCTTCCAAAGAGATTTTTTAGTCACAAATGGACTAAAAAAGAATCACTTAGAACTAATAATAGTTATATTCCTATTATATTGTATAATATGTTATCATCAACATAATTAAATGAAGCGTAGTGACTAATGTATTCTTTAGAATTCAGTTATGAGTAGTTGTAATAGGACAGTTATGTGAAAAGCATGTTTAAATCCTTATGATGCAGTTTGTTGTTAACACTAAAGGGGCTTAATTATAGCGAAGAGTTTGTTTTTTTTCTTCAGCTCTCCACTTGACATTACAGTGTTTACTCCACACCTGCATTTTATGAGCCATTAAGAAAACACAGACCGTGGCATAGAGCCTGCAGGGTCCTATGGAGCACTCCCTGCATAATGCTGCAGAGAGCGCTCCGATATAGGAGAGGCCAGTCACATGATTGACAGGTCATCTGACCAGGCCTTCCTACTTCGGGCTTTTTCCCATTTATTCATTTGAATTGAGATTTGCTTTCTAACGCACATTTGTATAGCACAGCAATGACATTGGCCCACTGTTGGCTGGATTGGACACCAATTTCATGTCCTTCTACGTGAGCTAGCAGACCTAGGGTGGGCCAATAATGCCTCTATGCCTGACATTGCTTCAGAGGATTTTAGACATCATAAAAGGATCACCGATGGGCACAACACAGTAAGATTTTGTTTCAGATCCATAGAATGTACTATCAACTTTGTAATGTAAGAGACTACCTATACAGTCTTTTCAAATGATTTCAAATCTGGTAGATCACTATACAGTTCATACATTTGAATTGATCAGACAAATCCCACCTAAAACAAAATCTGTGTGGCCAGAGAATAAAAAGGGGGGGGGGGGGGGGTTTGTTTTTTA